CATCACCATCATGATGATGATGATGATGATGATGATGATGATGATCATCCTCATCATCACCACCATGATCTTTCGTGTTTTCCGTATTCACCACCAACACAATCGTCACCATCGCCGTTTGTTCCTAGCATGAGAACCATGCCCTGACCGAGGACCCTCCAACTTGGCATGGGCATCAGCGAGGCGGGTGTGGGTGCATTTTCCCGTGTAGGGTTCTGAGGAGGCTCGAGGGTGCAGCTGCAGTCTGGTGTTCGTATTATATCACAAGTTTATGTGCAACCGCGGCCGGGATCAGAATTCCCGGCAAGCCACGGCTTTCGAAAAGTGCTTGCTGAAAACAGCAGTAGCGGTGCAGATGTTTCAGCCAGAGCAGAAATAAAACGTGCTTTTCGGTGGAAGCCGTGGTCTTTCCGGCAAAGCATGGGAGCCCCTGATCCCCTAGAGCGGCCAGCCATGGAGAAGCCGGCAACGTGGCAAGATGTGGCCACGGCCTTGGTGGAGCTGGAACAGCGGCAGGTTGCGATGCGCAGCAAGATTTCATCGCTGCAGTCGCTGTCGTCGATACGTGCCGAAGAGGTGCAGGTGCTGAGGCAGCAGAATGCCAAGGATCAGAACGGCCTGAAACTGGCCTACGCCGCCCGGGCCGCCCAGATGCAGCGCCAAAGCCGCGCTTTGGTGTCTCAGGCCATGCGGGCCGGCCGCCAGGCACAGCGCTCCAGAAGCCTGGCCGCGCGCGCGACGGTGGCGGCCAAGGAGGCCCGGTCCGAGCTCGGGGAGCTGCGCGGCGCGCTGCGGGGCCTTGAGGTCGCCTTGGATGCCAAGACTCAGGAGACCCGGAAATGCCGCAAGGAATGCAGCAAGCTGAGGACCGACCTCCGCCACATGGAGCAGAAAGCTGCCATGGACGCCTTGCAGTTGCAACGTCGGGATGTCGTGCTGGGCGAGTCGGCGGTTGTTCTCAGGCATTTCCTCTGCAGGGGTGCGCAATCAGATCATGCCGCCCTACCCGAGCAGACGGTGGCACTCTCACAAAGCTGAATGTACCTCGAATGCTGGCTAATGATACCGCTCGCACCCACTGCTGCGAAAAAGTTTGCGCGCTGGTATTCCGACCAGCAAAGTTACAAGAGGACGTTTGTAATGATTGGAGTCTGGCAGAGTGGTGTGCTTAGAAAGTGGTAGGTCCTCATTTCTCAGCCATGTTCCCATGTCTACTTTTCACGGCGACTTGTTCAGCTTCGCCTGCAGGGGTGGACATGACGATCAGTCTCCACACCCGGGTTTAGGCCTAAAAAGGTTTTCGCACGTGTAGACAGCTCTTTGTGGCCGCAGGCCCTAAACCCATCAACTTCCAGCCGTGCGCGAGAGTGAGAGTCGAAACCTATCAACTTCCTGCGCAACCGAAACACCAAGCCCACAAAGCCGGCCGGCTTCTTCGCACGAGCTTTGCAGGCTGCTTCTGACTGGTGCAACCTCATTAGCCGCTATCGCAGACCAGTGCATACAGAAGCTCTCCGTGTTGAACGCACAGGAGCACGAGGGATACATGATGGGGATCGTCCGGGAGTGTTCTGCTGTTTTTTCATAGGGTCAACGCCGTCATGAGCGTGTTCGCAAAAATAACTGCGGCTTTGCGGTCTGGTTCGAGACTGCAGGAAATACCCGAGATCTTGGCATATCTTCCCCCCCACCGTTGGGGCCTAGGGCCTAGGGGCCTTCGGGTCCAGAGTTTCAGTTCAGGGCTTTTCAGTTTAGGCCTTAGGGCTTGAGTAGAGCGGGTGTACGACAAAAGCCTTGGCTGGGATGCCAACCCTAAACCCTAAACCCTAAACCGTAAACCCTCTCTGCTGCCATGGCTCGGTCCCAGAACAGCGACGTTTAAACATGCAGGAACGAAACTACCGACGCTGTAAACCGCGAACCCGGAACCCATGCTTTGTGTTGGCGTCTTCCGCCAAGATCTCCAGGAGACATAAAGCACCCTACAACCCAATACCCTCAGTCCTGATACCTCAGCCTCACAGTGCCCTAAACCTTATAAGCCCCAAACCGCAACATCCGACACCCTAGGTCTCGAACCCGGAATCCGCTAAACCCCAGTAAGCCACTGGCACCTTCAGCTCAGACTGTCCTTGCAATCTTTGCCGACTCCCAGCTTCGAGCAGAATCGTTTAGGCTATCTTGCAGTTGCAAAAGGTTAGGTCGGTCTTAAAGCTCGCACTGCGGTCAGCTATGGGTTGTCGGGTTTAAAGTTTGCAGTGTATGGAAGCAGGACTTGTCCAACACACTGTGGACAATGGCTAAGCTCGAAATGGCCCACTTGCCCCTGCTGGCTGCAGTCGGGGGCCCCGGTCGTGGGAGAAGCTTGGGATCTTGGTATAGATGCTTGAACAGCTAGACTAGATTTTTGCGTGGTTTGTGTTGGTGGGCCGTTCAACACAGCTATCGACCCCCACAGCAGCTTCACGGGGAGAGACAGGGGGGGAGAGAAAGAGACAGACGGAGAGATTCATTTACTGGAGGCCCAAGGGGCGACCCAGGAAACTGAGCTTTTCAGCTTTCTAAAGCCTTTCTATCGCCAGCATCCCGAGTTCGCTGAGGTGTAGACCACGTGCAGTTCTTATGTTTAGGTGGTTTGTCCCTGGGGTTGGATTTCGGAGCTAAATTTGGAACTTGCGTGAAGCTGGGGGCGTTTGGGGGGCTGATGACGACATGATGATCACGACGTTACGATGGCGACATGACGATGACGACTTGGTGATCAGGGCGGTATGATTGCGACATGATCATGACAACCTGATGACGATGGCGACATGATGATGACGGTGATGCTGCTGACGGTGATGCTGCTGATGATGTTGATGATGATGCTGTTGATGATCATGATTCGTCAGGTTGAAGCCGGCAGTGGCAATCTCTGAAGTCTAAACAAGCTGAAGTGCCTTCATGCTCAGACCCAGGCCTTGAACCTGTCCCAAACTCCAAACCGAAGCACCGCGAAGCACCAAGACATACCAAGACTGTTGAAACTTTTTGGATTCGGCGAATTATTCGAGGTGCACGAAGTGTTGCAAATGTCATCTAACTTGCCTCCCTGCTGCGAATCCCGCACTAAGTACGACTCCGCACTCGCACAAGACAAAACCCCGAGTTTCTGCATGTGTTGGTTCTGTCCTCAACACAAGAAACCCAGAACTCTGAACCCAAACACAGCGAGAAACCGCGACTGTCGGAACGAGCCCCAACCAAGACTCAGTGTCCCATGACTCTCAAGCCAAAAGCACCAAGCTCCCTAAATCCTAAAGCTCCCCAAACCCTAAACCCTCAAGCTACAGCCCCCAAACCGTAGCACCACAAACCACCAAAGCCTCAACCGATCTGGTGGCAGGTCTCTGCTGCGTCGATGCAGGCCGGCCCCAGGTTCAGGTTTTGGTCTAAGTGTCGTTTAGTTTCTTGTTTGGGCGTGTAGAGTTGTAATTCACTTTAGGGATGAATCAAGGTAATCAAGGGTGTCGAGAGTCTTGAGGTTCTACAGGAGTTGAAAGTTCAGTGGAAAGTTCAGTCAAAACATGGAAACTCGGATTCGAGGCTTAGGCTTGAGCTGCAGCCGGGCCTCCAGGAGTGGGGTTTCCTGATGTGTTCGCATCTAAAGGGATGCGGGTTGAAGTGCTTTTTTTTTGCGAGGGTTCAGCGTGCAAGGCGGAGTATTCTAGGTTTGGGTGCTGAGACATGTACACCCAGTCCGCCCTTAAATTTTAAACATCTTTACTACGGTGAAAACCAAAAGTTTGGATTGCATCAGGTACCCGGCAGGTGGTCCTGGTTTGGCTTGCAGTGCTACTTAAGAGTTTATAGTCTGGAATGTCGGGCAGGCGGTTTACTCTTTATGTGCTGGCTGTGAGTGTTCCTTTGCGGGTGATTCTGCAACTTGAGTAAAGTCTCTAATCCTCAAGCAGAAAAGGAGAAACACCACATAATGTAGGGGCCTTAGAAATTAGACGAGGGTTTGGGGTATATTATACTATAAGCATAAGTATAATAAGGAACCTCCAAAACCCTCTTCTAATTGTTGAGGCCCCTACATTATGTGGAGCCAAAAGCCAGCCGGTCCTTTGGAGACTCGAGTCCCTCTCCAACTCAAATCAGCTCTCGCGAACTTTGGTCGCAAAACCCTTGAACCTTGCATGCTCCAGATTTTTAAATGGGGCATGGGGAAATAATGAAACCTTGCAGTTGAGGGACCTGATAGTTCAAAGTTGCAAGGTGTGCATTGGCCTGCTTACGTTTGGCGAATGCCTCAACCCTGCCGCGACTGCGTTTCCACTCCCAGAGTGCTGAAGCTAGCACATCTAAACCGAAATAGTCTCGAATATAGGGGCTTGAATCATCTGCGTTCCTTCCGTTTCTTCGAGGCTTGTAACAGCACAGAGCAGCTCCCAAAACATCCGGACCCTGCAGTCCTGCATCTTGGACATCCAAACCACGTTTCTGGCAAAAGCACGGCAAAGCCCGCCGAATCTCACAGAAAATCGACGAGTTCAATCCGCAGAGCATCTCGAACTCAGGCTTTTCCCGGCATGTGTTTTCGGCACAGGGTTGCAGGGTTCAGCACAAGAAATTTAAAGATTCGGGCCAGGGCTGGGATTGCAGCCGAATCCTTGCAGCCAAAAGCACGAATCCTGTGTTGACAGCGCAGCTGATCCTGGCCCGAACTGGTACATCACTGGCACATCACTGGTACATCCGACATCGCCTTCGGTTGTGTGTCTTGGGATTACGGTCCTCGCAGTTTTAGGGTATGAACTCCGAACCGAAAGCTTATTTCTAGACTTTGAGAGGTTAAACCTTGAGCAGTAGGGTAGTGCCGACAATCTAAACTTAAGCTTGACATCAACCTTGGATGTCAACACAAGTCGCACACAGTCCAGGCACCGGCAGTCGGACCAGCCTTTTCACGTGCTGGTTCCAATTGCAGGCATTTGGGGGGCTCAGCATCAAAAGTCTGTCAACCGTTTCCTCCCATGCGACAAGCGTCTCCGTGAGGCAAGGTGTAACAGGGGCCCTTGTTGAGCTCGCAATGGAAACTTTGTAAAACCTTTGAAGACCTTAACCCAGCGGTCCTCTTTGAGGTGTTTTCGGTCTTAATTAAGCTTCAACGGCTTACTGTTTACGGTTCCAAACCCTGAGCCGTAAACCGCAAGCCCCACATGGGTTTGCCATGGCCGTCTCGAACCAGCAAGCAGTCTGCCGAGCTTTGCGGGCCAGTGCATGCGCCAAGCGGCCGAATGAGGCTTCACATTGCAGGGTATTTGGGGTGGAAGGGGTTTAGGGTTTAGGGTTTAGGGTTCAGGGATTTTGTGCTGATCTGCCTATGTGCAGACAAGGCGGTGGCAGTGTAATCGGGCTGACGTACTGAAGTCCCTGCGTTGACCGGAGGTCTATTCAACTAGTTTGACGTGCTAGTGATTGGCAGGAACTATCTTTACGGGGTTTGAATCGTAGCTCAATGGCGCTCATGCGTGTTTTCGCACCGAGGCCATGAACATATTCCTCGCTTGGGAAGTCCGATGTGAGCGTCGAGACCCCTTCTACGAATCTTAGCTTTCCGGAAAGTCTTCAAAACCGAGCTAGCGAGTCGCTGAATCCAGAAGAGGCCACCTTCAACCTTCCAAGGTCCCGGTATTTTCATGAGCCTTAGAGGCAACTTACAGGTGTCCCCGGGCCGTTGGGGTTTAGGGCCAAGTGAAGTGCAAGGTTTAGGGTTGTTCGTTTTGCGGTCAGTGGGCCGTTGTGGTTTGAGAGTTCGAGAGCCAGGATTTTAGACTTTAATCTTGCGGCTCGAGGGCTTGGACACATGAGGGCACGTTGCTCGCGAGTCCAACATTGAAGACCTGCACAAACTTAGCTCCAAACAGGAACCGTTTGGAATAGCCCTAATGTAGGAGCCTGAATAATTCTTTTGGGGGTTCATTATTAGAGTTATAGCATAAGGGACCCCCAAAACCGTATTCTAATTATCAAGGCCCCTATATTACATCCCGTGACCTCTTCGAGCAACTTTGGCACAGGCCGTGCGAGTGCTGGATTCAATGCGAGAGGCAGCTTTGGAGGTCGTCTCGTTTAGGGTTTAGGGTAAGGGCTGAGGGTTTAGTAGGGTTCTGGGGTTCAGAGTTTAGGGTTTTAGGGTTTAGGGCTAGGGTTTAGGGTTTCCCGCTCAAAAGGGAGGAGGAAGGAGACTATCGTGATGGTGGCCAGTTTCAGATGCAATTTGAGCCCGTCTGATGACTCCTGATATTCTGACTATTAACCCTGCTTGAACAGCTGCTCGCCACGATTCTTCTTCTTATTCTGGTGATGATGGCGATAAGAAAGTCTTTGGTCGTGGGAGGCGTTCCAGTACGCCGGCGGCTCAATGCAGTTTCGTCTTACATGCTGTGTGCAGTTCGGTGTTGCTTTAGATCCAGTGCCACTGCTCCTGGAAGACGATTTCGAAGCTCGAAACTCAGAACCTTCTCGGGCCCAAGGCCCCAAAAGGAGCCACGCCCTGAACAGTTGGCCGTCCTCCACTACAACTTGGCACTGGGCGCTTGTGTTGCGAACTGGCAGCTGGCTTGCACATTGCTGGGGCAGATGTGCAGAAGCCGGAGCATGGATGCTGCCCAGCTGGCAGGCATTGGGGAGTGACGGGTTTAGGCACGTCAGGCACGTCTGGGGTTGTGGAGTGACAAGGTTCAACCTCCCGGGGCTTTCCAAGCAGGGCCAAAGCATCTCAACCAGCCTCAATTCCGACGTCATCCGAGGCTTTCAGCTTTTCTAGCTGCATCAACGCCTGCGCCTATGCTTCTCGCTGGAGGCGGCCAGGTGTAGGTTACGGGCCTTGTGCGATTGAGCCGGAAGTTTTAGAAGGCCAGTACCCCCAAGTGCCGGGGTGCCTTTCGTCTTCGAAAACTCCAGGTGATGTGTCATGGTTTCGACTTCCGATCCCTTCAACCCCACACTTTGGAATCCGGAACTGCGGCTCCCAAACTCCTCCAGATCGCAAAGTCTCAGTGCCTGAAACCCTGAAACCCCATAAGAAGCCCTAAGCCCTCCTTCCTTGAAGCCCTGAACCCAAAGGCCCTTTGGCCCAAGCGAGTGGAGCCCCAAACCCTGGGCTCTCTCGTATAGGTAGGAAGTTGGGCATGGAAGACTGGGAACCTCTTTCTAACAGAGCATTATTGCTCGATATCTTTCTCTCAGCTTCTTTCAGTACGTTTCACCTTGCCGACTCAAGACGACAAGCCTCGCCTCACACTCGGACAAATCCCTGAAGCCCCACACCCCCCAAACCCAACTCTCTAGCTAGCTTCGTGCAGTTGGAAAATGGCAGACAAAAAAGTTATCAACCCCTACAGCCCTGAGTCGCGAGCGTCCAAAGCCCTAAAACCCCGAATCTCCGTGTGGAGGCAGGTGCTTTGTATCCTCAGCTCTATGGAAGCCGAAGAGGTTCAGCAGACGACGATTTGCTGCTTGGCCTCAGAGAATGCACGGCTTCTGTATAGTAAATATAGTCGCTTCTTGACAGGGTCCCTTATGGTACATCCGAGACAAGTAACTAAGTCACGGATCCTCGCCTGCTTTGTCGAGTGTGAGTGCTAAAAAAAGTCACGGATCTGGATCCTGATGCCGAAAGCCGCCAGGCGCAAGCACCTGAACCATAAACGTAAAGCTTTCCTCGGTTCCGAGTAATTAACTCAGGGGCTGAGTAGGTCACCTTTAACTTTTTGGGCTGATATGATCCTACTATAATTCAAAAGGTTAACCTTTTTGGGGCTAGGGTACTCAGCCCCTAAGTTAAACTTGTCATAACAGGTGACCCCGGACTTCCACCAGCACTCTGAAAATTGGAGCTTCAATCTGCTAAGCTGTACGATGAGCGTTCTTTTAACACCCAAGCCCAAGCTCTAAACTCTCGACCCTTTCATCTAAAGTCGTGAGCTTGTGTAAAACCCGATGCGCGAACAGCACCATGCTCGGCTCGTACATCTACAGTCCGGAACAATATATATATATATATATAATAAACAAATAAACAAATAAATAAATAAATAAATAAATGAATAAATAAATAAATAAATGAATAAATAAATAAATAGATATATAAATATAAATATAAATAAATATATATATATATATATATATATATATCCATATATATATATATATGCCTCACCTGCCTTGCCCATGGGACCGAAACGTTTACCTTGAAGCGACAAACTTAATCAGTAGGACCCTGAACCTTCAAACGCCGAAGGCTCCCTGACTCTCCGCTCTCCGCCGCTAGGCTACAACTCGGCCCTCTCTGCGTTGCTTCGGGCTGGCCTCTGGGAGCTTTGCCTGGAGCTGCTCTCGGCGATGTGGGGGGCTTCCTCAAAGAATGGGGGTTTAGGGTTTAGGGGTTTTGGGTTTTGGGTTTAGGGTTTTGGGGTCCGATGCCACAGTTTTGTTTTCGCGGGCAGGTTGTATAGGGTTGTTGGGGATCCTTCGGATCTGTGGTGCCCTGATGCCCGAGCTGATAAGGTCCCCAAGCCTAGGCTCCGGATACGCCGGCCCAGAAGATACGCATGCGCCACTGTCATTTTTTCATATTTCCTCGTTTTGTCTGATCGTAAGCCCTACCTAAACCTCTAAAGACGCGAGAGTGAGAGGGAGCTGCCTCTGGACATCGTCTCCTTCACCATAGCGATCCAAGCGTGTGATGAGGGCGGCAGGTGTTCTCCAAAACCTTTTGGGTTTTGGGTGAGAGAGAACTAGTTCGTAGACTCGTAGAGTCACAGACCCTGCAGGTGGGACGGCGTGCTACAACTGCTAGGGTGCATGCGGCCTGCTGAAATTCAGCCGGATGTCATGAGCTTCAACTTATCTGCGCCTCGGCATCTCTTTAGTGGCAGTGCGGCAGCGCTACAACTAATTACAAACATAGAGTTCGAAGGACACACCTTCAACCCTTAATGGAACCATTTCGGTCCCCATAGGCTTCTGCCATCGGCACGCTCTTGCCCAAGACGGGTTGGTTTATCAGGCGGCTCATATGCCAGGATACATCTGAAGCGTCTTTCCTGGCATGCACGAGTTCAGGTACATTCCAATGCGCATCGCTGGTACGGTGCCTTGCAGTTGCTCTCCGACACGCTATTTTTCAGGAGCTCAGAAAAACTACCTAAACGGAACCTCTTTCAATGGCAGTGCTGCGTCCCAGCAGATTCTCTTTGTAGGGTTTTGTGGAAGGGAATCCTGTAAACCCCAAGACCAAAACCACGTAAGCCCCACTCCCTTGCTTTGCAGGATTCGGCCAAATCTGCTTAGCTTCCACAGCATTCTCGGCCCCGAGCTTGGATGGCGGCGAATGCTCGATCTGCTCGGCTTGCTGCAGCTCCAGAACCTAGAGCCAACCACAGCGACTAGGCCTTATCGGGTACCGGTGTTGTTTGGCAAGTGCGACGACTGCTGTGGGACCGCTGTGTACGCAGAGCGAACATTACCCGCGAGGTGACGTTCAATGCCGCGCTGGCGGCCTGTGCCCAGGAGGGTGGATGGCACCACGCCCAACTTCTCTTCCAGCAAGTCCGAGGCGCCGAATTTACGTCGAATTGATAGAGCCTACGGATCCAGAGCCAACTTGTCAAGATGGGATCTCTTCTCATCCCACCGTCTGCGATGACCTTGAAGACCTGCGCTGTAACAGTTCCCAAATCTTGATATTTTCATTGCGCTGTATCCGGTTTCAAAAAAGGACGAGATTTTCTGCCAGCGCTTCCAGCTAGTCTGCTGTAGTTGCGCGTGCTTCCCGCAGAGCATGAGTGCGGTGTCGCAGGAGGTGCGAGAGGAGTTCGGCCCGATCCAATCAGCTTCAATTCCGCGATGAGGGCATGCCAATTGGACCGTTGCTGGGTTCTTGTTACCATAATAAGGAAACCATATTATTTACTATAGATCCCTATTATGGTAACTTAAATTAAATCCCTTAACAAGAACCCAGGTTGGCGCTGGTCTTCGGATCTTCTTTGGACCATGGAGTTGGCCGGGAATCTGCCAGATACTTTAACTTTAATGTCCAGCAACAGTTCCTTCGGGTAGCAGCAACAAGGATGGCGGCAAGGGCGGCAAAAGCAACCACATGCAGTACATGCAGTGTAGTCCAAAAGGAGGCCCGCAGGTGAGGCTTTGCAAACTCGTTGCTCTGGGCATCCAAGGATTGCATCAGCGTGACGACAAGCATCATGGCGAAAGGCAGAGGCATGCAATGGCTGCTAGCAGCACAATGCCTTGATGCCAAGCGGGGCCCCGCCATCTTGCCGAATGTGATCACATTCACTGCAGCGGTTGGTGCGTGCGACGGTGCGGGCGCATGGCTGGCAGCCCTGGCAATGTTGAACACCATGGCGCTGTCTACAGTTGAGCGGGATGCCATGTCGCAGAACTGGGAGACGAGCACGTGCGCAACAGCTAGCCAGTGGGCGCTGGCTTTGTCTCCGGATGCCCGAAAGCTGATTCCGAACCACTTCGGCTCTCTGTCGCTCGCCCTGTCCGAACATGGTCACCACTGGGAGCTGGCGCTGGAAATGCTGTCAGGCAGCGGGCAGCAGGGTTTGAAATCCAGTGCTTTGGCAATCAGCTCGGCGATGACGGCTGCCACCTCCTGTGCTCGCTGGCAGCACTCTCTGGAGCTTTTCACCGCTTGCGGCCGAGGTCCGGGTTGCGCGTAGAGGCGTAGAATTTAGAAGACCTAGAACGCTACAACCCCAAAACTCTCAGGACCGAGTTGCAAGAAGGCCTCGAAAGCAACAGCGGCAAGCCCTCCCCTACCTTGCGAAGACCTGAGCCTTACTGTGCACCGCACCGCCGCATACCTTCGAGGTGACAGAGACCTGGCCATCCACAATGCTGCCACTCGGATAGAATGTACTTGGAGGACTGGAGGGCCCAATAAGCTGGATTGATAAATTGCTATTTCGCAAAGGGGAACTTATACATACTTGCACAGCTTATCAGTGTATTACTACGTATGGCATCCGTACTAAGTTCCTGCCTGTCAATACCCGGCAGCCCTTAACCCTGGAACCTGGAACCCTAAGTTAGCCAGCTCCCCGATAGCCATACTGTATCATCGAACCGCGAGTATCATCTGGCAGAGTCCGGGGGTGAGGTGGTAAAGCCTAAACACGAAAAACTCTCCTACACAAGAAGCTCCAAGCCCGAAGCACTGAACCTGTAAACTCCTCTTTCTAAAACCCGTTGTAAACACACGCACCATAAATTCTCAAGTAAACCCGGAGCCCAAAGCCTTAAAAACGCCCTACTCCGTGCTTTGAGGCCGCCACAGCTCTGGAGAAGGGCAGCAGATGGTGCTCCGCGCTTGCAGGGCTGGGGGTCCTCCGTGCCTCGCGCTGGGCTCCCGACGAGGTAGGACCAGCAAATGTGGAAGAGATCAGGGGGCTGGGTTTTTCTCGGTCCGCGAAGGTTTTTGCGGCTTGCGGACAACACTGAAACCCTAGGCAACCGGATAACGACCTCCGCCGGCGGGGGGTAGGGAGACCCAGGCTGCGAGGGGGTAAACATTCCAGGGGGGAAGAACGGTCGGCAGGCGGGTGCGGTTGGCTGACAGCAGGGCCAGAGACCACACTGGGCCATTTTTCTGCTGCTGCAAGGGCAGAGCTGCGCGACAGGTGGGACATAAGCTGCCTAAAGGGGTCGCCCCAACGGGGCGATGGAGTTCACTCCCCATACCCCCAGCAAGCAGGCAAGCCAGCAAACAAGCAAACAATTTAGCATGAGCTGCTTCACTAAAAAGGGCGGCGCAAGCTGTTGGACGCACATGGTTGGCACAGACCCTTTTCAATATGTGCCCTTTAGGTCTTATCGCTGCAGTGCCGAAGGGGTCGGCGCGACCCTCGCGATCCTCCTGCTAAAGGGTGTGCCGACCCTCACATGCAAAAGGAACAGCTATCGCTCGAAAGGGACTGGCGAATCTAAGAAGGATGAGCATACCGCCAAAATCTGACAAGAGGACCTGTGAAAATGGGGCGAACCGCTCGAAAGGGACTAGAGAATCGAAACAGAAGAGCGCACCGTCCGAAAAGGGACTAGAGAATCTGAGAAGGAGGAGCGAGCCGCCGGAGAATTTGAGAAAAATGGGTGAGCCGTTCGAAACGAACTAGAGAATCTGAGATAGAGGAGCGTACCGCTCGGAACTAGAGTCGCTAGAGAACCTGAGGAAGAACGGCGAGTTCTTCGAAAGGTGCCTGAAAAAACTGGGGAAGAGGCAGGAGCGCACCGTTCGAACTTGGTACACTTCTCGATTTGCACGCTCGACAGCGACAAGCGACAAGAGACTCTGAGAAAGAGGCGGGACGTCTTCTAAAGGGCCTACAAAGTCTAACCAAGAGGGAACCGTTCAAAATGGATTGAAGGATTTGAGAAAGAGGAGCGAACAGTTCGAAAGGGATTAAATTATCAGCTTGAGCAAGAGGAGCGAGCAGTTCAGAACGGATGAAGTAAAGAATACCTGAGAAAAGGAACGAACTTTCGAAAGGGCCTAGAGAAGCTGAGAAACAGGAGCGAACCAATCGAAAGGGGTTACAGAGTCTGAGACAGAGGAGGTAACCGCTCGAAAGGGACTAGAGAATCTGAGAAACAGGAGCGAACCTTGGAAAGGAGACTCGAGAATCTGAGAACATGGAGCGAGCCATTCGACAGGGGCTGGAGAGTTTGAGACAGCCGAAGGAGCGAACCGTTCGAATATGATTAGAAAATTTGAGAATGAGGAGGTCACTTTTCGAAAGGACTAGTGAATCTGAGAAAGAGGAGCAAACCGTTCGAAAGGGAATAGAGAACGATTTCTGCACAAGAGAATCTGAGACAGAGAAGCGAACCGTTTGAAAGGGACTTGAGAATCTGAGAAAAAGGAGCGCAGTCCGAAAAGGGACTATAGTAGAGAATCGGAGAAAGAGCAGCCAGCCGAACCTTGAGAAAGAGGAGCGAACCGTTCGAGTGGGGTCAAATAGAGGAACTCAGAAAGAGGAGCGAACCATTCGAAAGAGAGTAGAGAATCTGAAAAGGACCGAACCATTAACTTACAAAGGGACTACGTAGAGGGTCTGAGAAAGAGGAGCGAACCATTCGAAAAGGACTCGAGGCTCGAGAATTTGAGAAAGAGGAGCGAGCCGTTCAAACGGGATCTTGTTTCTCAGATTGATTGTCTAGTCTTTCGCCTCTCTGAGACTCTCACGTCCCTTCCGAACGGTTCGCGGGCTGTGCAGAGGTTTTTTTGCTTCCCACCGAAAACCCAGGCGGCGAGGGGGACGGGTGGGAAGGGTTGGCAGGCGGGGGGCGAGGGCAGAAGAGTTTCGCGACTTCGGTCTGACACGTTAAACCCTAAACCCTAAACCCTAAACCCTAAACCCTAAACCCTAAACCCTAAACCCTAAACCCCTAAACCCTAAAAAAAAACCCCCTAAACCCTAAACCCAAAACCTATAGGCTCTTAACTCCTTGCATGCCGAACATTACTCTGAACCTGGAAGCCGCGGATTCCGAAGCCCGAAATGCCCAAAGCTTAAGCAACTAAGCCCTAAACCATAGCCATAAGCGGTTGAATCCCTAATCCCTCAAGCATTACTAACCCTCAACGAAGAAGTCCTACAAATCTCAAACCCCGAAACTGCCAGACCTGAACCCAGAAGCCACAAGGTCACGTGCAGCGCCTTAATCAGCGCCTGCGAGAAGGGCCTAGAAGCTTGGATCTTTGTCGTTCTGGTGGCGGGGGGTTGGACATCAAAGTTTATAAGCTTCATAGGGACAGAAGTTGGTGGTGAGACCCCGCCAGTAGCATCTGCTACCGCCACAACATGCAACACAGAGGCATCTAGACCGCCTTTGCTGAACGCACCTCGGCCTTGAGGGTACTCTAAAGCCCTAAACTCTGAAGCCGAGGAGTGGAAGAGGGCCCTGGTGCTCTTCGAGCAGATGCTGAAGGCGTCACTTCAGGCCAGCGTCATCGCCTGCGATGCCACTATCTCTGCCTGCGACCCGCCTGAAATAGCAGTTGGTGCAGTTCCAGATAGTTCTAGGGTTCCACGTGTGGCATTCAGGTTCATACCTCAAAAATCCTTTTCCCAGCATCTTAAAGACGCTCACTATGGAGATGAGCGAGATGATGCTTGGACATGGAGAGGGTCGGTGTTCACACAGGTGCTGCAGTGCTGCACGGGATGTGTGAGGGAAGGGTGCGGGCCGCAGCCTTGAACCACTCAGCCACACAGCGAGGGATTTCCTGGGTCAAGAGGGCTTCTGGCAGGGGCACCCGACCCCGCCAATTACGAGAAACCCGAAACACAGCATCCTTTTGCAGCCGCGCTTGGAGACACTTTCTTGAGCGGGCCCACATGGTTACGCCCCTGCTTGTTTCTACGTATGCCTTCGAGTGTCGAGGGATGAGAGACTTTGCAGTTTAGAGTCCACTGTTGCGGTTCGTTTGGGGTGGAGGTGTAGGGTTTGGGGTTTGGGGTCGGGTCCGGAGGCTCTCAGGCAGAGCGTCGAGGCCTTCCGGTTTATGGAACTTGAGCTTGCCTCGTCTTGTCCTGCCAAAAATTAGCTTAGGGTTTGAGGTGGCTTGCAAGGTTTGGATGGTTTCAGCCGAGGCGATTGATGAGAGGAGCGTCGAGTTCGTTGTGCTGTGGGGGCAGCTGAGGCGAGAAGTGTGGCAAGTGGCAGCAAGCTCTCGCGCTTCTGAACTGCATGCCCGAATTAAACCTGCAGCCCAACGACATCAGCTTCAATGCAGCAATTGGCGCCTGTGAGAAGGGCCAACTGCATGCAGAAGTTGCCTGATTACCCGAGCCTGTCGAAACCGTCAAGATTCCGTGATTCCGCGAACACCAACCCGAACACCTTCCATGTCCTACTACTGCATCCGGAGACTTCAACAGCATGCCAAGAACAGGAAGATAGTAAACCTCGTAAATCTTATGCCTCAGGCCCCGGAAAAACTCGCACCGCGTCCAGGGACGCCAAGTTCTGCAGAGATTTTCATGGCCTTCGGCTGTGGGCCTTGTTTTGATTCTCTGCAGACCCATTCTTTTGAATTCATACGGCAAGTTTTCGCAAGCTCACAGCTGACAAAGATAGGCAGGGAGGGAGGGAGGGAGCACCAGCAACACCGACACCACCGGCACCACCGGCACCACCAGCACCGCCAGCTGGCTTCAGAAGGTTTTAAGTGAAAGGTAAGGTTTGGGATGTGTTTTGTCTTGGAGCTCAAGGGTTACTCATGGCTAGGTGTTGCTCTCTCTTGGGGCAGGGTCATCGAACACTTACCGAGTTGATTTCTGAGCCAGGGTGAGTGGTGTGGTGTGACACGAACAGGCTAGGATGTGCGATTCCAGTGCAAAAAACACATGCACCACATCCCCTCGGCCTGTTGGGCATGTGGCACTGTCCCACAGACTATAAACCGCCGCGAGGCCTGTATACACCTAAACTCAGAGGGATCAAGCTGACAGCTGATACCGCTGCGCCCTGCTTGTCGAAGCACTGTCGAGTGTGGGCGTCAACAATCCTATGGCGTTTCTACGTTTGATGGCAGGCTGGGCTTCAGCTACGCTTCTCCTGGATGGTGATGCGGCCGGGAGCACGCTACAGGAATCAGCCCCTTAAAGACTTAGGAAAGGTAGGTTTGGGGAACTAGTACTTTTATGGCTGTAGGGCCTGTGGATTCAGCAAAAAGCTGGGGCTGACCATCAGTTGTGGAAGGATCGCGCGAAGTCCTTAACAGCCTCACCGAACGCCTTCAGAAAGCAACGCGTGCGGGTGTCCTTGCAACAGTAATATATAGGGCCGTAATAATTGCCAATACTATTTTGGGGGTTCCTTATTCTAACTATAATATACCCCAAAACTTTATTCTAATTGTTAAGGCCCCTTACAGTAGCCGCCATGTTCCCGGAACCGGTGGATCCCCAAACTCCTGCGCTGGACAGGTCATGAGCGTCCTGGCCGAAGCTGCCTATCAAAAGCTCCCCAGTTTCGAGAGGCCCGGGTAAAGGCAGTTCCAGTCAGTAAATTCGGTAATTTGGGACTTGCATCGAACACTGCTACACCTGCTGCTGCGCCACTGTTGTTTGTTGTGTTGGTTTTAGGTAATGTGGGACTTGCGTCGAACACTGCTACAGCTGCTGCTGCGCCCCTCTTGTTTGTTCTGTTGGTTTTTCTTCCGGTGCTGCTGCTGCTGCCACGATCTATTGGTACTTGTAGAATTACTGGTGCAGTTGCGATCACCACGACAACCAAGGGCGGGGGGGGGGGGGGGGGGGNNGGGGGGGCGAGCGCTGCAGCTACGACCATTACTTCTGGCCAGTCTGGCCCCTATACATGTTACGATGGTGTTACAGATGCTCGACGTCACGGTCGTCGTCATCATCGCCACTAGCACCATCGTCACTATATGGGATTCTCATCAGGATCAGCATTGCATCCATGAAGTTATGACACTTTCTCATGCCTTCAGTTTCGTTCCGGCTTCGGGGTTCGGTTCCTTGGTCTGATCATGTGGCTGAAGGTTTGGAATCTCAGGCTTTGGGGGGAGGCCCGTCCCGGCTTTCAGTTTCGTTTTCCTCAGTGTTTCGACCTGGCTTACCGGGTCTGCGGGTGACGGTTCAGAGGAAGCGCTTGCTGCAGGCAGTCCACCTCCAATTTTGCATGGTCCTGCGCGGTTTCTCAGAGCAAGGGCGGTGTCGGATTAGAGGCCCTTGTGTCAGTGTTGCGCGTAGACGATTACTCTGGTTTCTTGTTTGCGGTAGGGTCCTTGCCCTGGAAACCCGTCATAATCACATCGAAACCCGGTTCTATGTTTACTCACTCAGTCATTTACGGCCCTTGTACGAGGCTGTTGGATGCTGGTGGTTGGGCCTTGTGGAGAGTGTTGCTTGGGGTGTTGTCGGGTTCGCCTGCATGTCGTCCGAGAGTCGTAGTGTTTCGTGTTTGCTACGCTTCGTGCCCAGCAAAAGAAAGGCTATGCCTCGTGGACCCAAGACCTTAAAACAGTCGACCCAAAGCAAGCATACGTCCTGCTGTTCCTGCTTGCTGTGATTGTCAAGAGTACGGTGCAGGTGACTTTGTGGCCTGCACTAGATCGCAACCAGTCCCTGCGCAAATTAGACCCTCGACCACAAGCTCGAGGCCCCATACACCCTAAAGTCCTGAGGCCCGCACATGTTGCCAAGAGGTAGGGTCTTGCAGCAGCAGCTGCTCTACTACGAAAAAGCACCTGAAAGACTTTAGTTACTTTAAGTTTAGCTTGGAACAAAGCCATAAGGTGAGAGTGGAAGATCGCAACCACCAAGGCCCCAGCCCCCAACCGACGTGAGGTGCAAAGTTGCAGCACAAGGACGTGGAGCTATTCGAGCGGGTCGCGCAAGCTGCAGTGGAGGCCTGTGCGCCCCTTTGATTGACACATTGATGATGCGGGCTCAGCCCAAACCCTACACCCTCTGTTTGGGGGGTCAGCTTGATTTGAGGAACTTGGCAGAGCTCCGTCGCATGTAAAATGACAATGAGTAAGGTCCTTTGGGGTTCTGCTGCTCAGGGAGGGACATTTTCTTGGCAGCTCTCACATGACGGCGATGGTTTAGGAGGCAGTCTTAACGGTCAAGTCTGAGCAGCTGGGAGAACTTTAGCAGGTCTGCTCAGGGAACCCGCAGCTTTCGTCTTTTGCGTGTGGTTTGTGTTGGTCCTCTGACTTAAATACTTGCAAAAGACGGGAGGGTGTTGGGACGTTGAGGAAAGAGATCCCGCAAACCCTTGGCCAAGGCACGAAGTCCTGAATCCGAAACACAAGATCTAATATAGGGGCCTTAACAATTTCAATAGGGTTTTGGGGCACATTATACTATAGTTGTAATAAAGAGCACCCCAAAATAGTGTTGGTAATTATTTAGGCCTCGACATTAGAGCTGCAGACCGCAAACCCCGAAAGCTTTGTCATAGACTGCAGCCCTAACACCCTGAACCCCAGATCCCTCCAGAGACAATATAGGGGCCTTACTAATTACGAATACTATTTTGGGGGTTCCTTAATTGTATAACTAGAGTATTATGGGCCCCCAAACCTTATTTTAGTAGTTCCTTAATTATATAACTATAGTATTCTGGGCCCCAAAACCCTATTCTCATTATTAAGGCCCCTATATCACACGAGAAGCTTTCAGGCTTGGACCCTTTGAGGACTTCGAAATCCACATAGTGGGCGTTCCGGTTTGTCGTGAGCTCCAGTATACCCAGAGAACCCAATACACCTTGATTGCCTTAATTAAGGAATACCTTAAATTATAGGGGTGTTACTATTATGATTTAAGGTAGATTCCTTAATTCAGGGATATTGGGCTCTCTGGGTAGCTTTGGTTCCCTGGGGTGCATGTGCGATTGTCAAGAATGCTGCCTGTGTAATCTTTTCCTGGGCCGCAGGGCATCGAGAAGTTCGACGCACAGGCCTCGCCCGCCCCGCAAACAGAGCAGCGAAAGTTTGACGGGGGGCTTAGTTTGGAGTTGGGCTTTAGATGGCCTGAGGCTCCTGGCGCGGGATATGTTGTCCTTACACAACTCTGGAATTTGCACGTGGCAAGGGTCCATATGCCTCCCCCCGAAATGCTAGGCTGCTAGGTTCAAGATTTTCATAATACGCAAGCCCCAAGGATGTTTTTTTGCAGCCGCTCATGCAGGAGGAGCCTCTCCTGACCCTGTCGAGTGCGAGTGCAAAAAAACTATGCATTGTAAGAGGCCTAAGTGGTAGCACAACCTAGCATGCTAAGGCTAAGGTCGCGTGGCATCGGTCAACAGAGAATCTCGTGAACTCGGCTTTCTGAATCTTCATATATGATTACAAGTAGTGGCATGGTCTGGAAAGCATTCTGTAATCCAGAGGTGCTTCTGTGGCACAACGAGCACGTACCTTAACAACTGCACGGAAGTCTCATCATTGTTAGCTGCTACTTGGCAACACTGCGCTCTTACTACACTTCGACTACAGCAAACAAAACGCATAGCGGCAGCGACGATGACCTCTAAACCCTAAACCCCCTTCAAAGGCCTCGTCCAACACGTTGTGGGGCTTCGCAACATCGGAGATCTGGCGCCAAGCTTTGAAAGAGCGCAGAGCCCAGTTTAGGGAGGCTTTGGGTTTAGGGCAATCTGTGGATAAGGGGATTTCTGGCTCGAGCCAGAGCCTGGTGCCAGGTTTGAGTTTGAGTAGTAGAGTTTGGGGTGAAGGTGAAGCTTCAGGGGCGACGTTCCGGGAGATACAGCCACCAAAAATGAAAACCCAGAAGAGAGTTAGCCCTGGTACACAAGAACTCGGCCCCTAGGCGAAGGTGTAGAAGACTGAGAAGCCACAAACTCAACCCCAAACTGGCCTTAAAACCCATCCTGCATTACGACCATGCTGGACAGTCGGTTCGAGTAAGTCGGCCTGAGATTCCTTAGATCCCCCACCTCACGGGTCTTTCGTGCGATGCATTCAAGCCTCTTGAACTCCGGAACGAGTAGCACCCTCCCTAACTCCCTAGCCGTAGTCGCCCCCGAACCTCGCAGCAATGCTTCAAAGCCCGGTTCCCTGGGCCGAGGGCGACAGCCGCGGCGGGCATGGCGATGCAGTGCGAGTTAACGACGCAGGAGGCGACGATCAGGCTTTTCACGTCAATTCCTTGTGCTTAGAGAACCATGATGTAGTTCAGTGGTTTCCGGTCGAAGGTTTGTTCCCATAGGCGTTCCTTAGACGCACCAAGGGAAGTCTACCCCAGGCCCACCCACAGCAGGGAGCTCCTTGTTAGCCTTTAAAA